ACAAGGCAGTTCAAAAATCTAATCTAACACAGCAACACTACTATGAATGTTTTCACAACAGGGCGAGTTAAAGCACCATACCAGCTGCTTTTCATATCATTGTACAAATTCATTCGAAAAATCATCCTTGTCTAACTAAAGCTATTGAAAACAAAACAAACATCATTTCAAATTTCAGACTAAAAAAAATATTTTAAAAAAGTGAACTCAAATTTTTTCTCAAGTAACCAAATCTGAGAATGTATTTTTTCAATAAACATTAAAGGCATCATTTCAACAAAAACAAACGACAAGAAGCAGAGAAGCAGTGTTAGACTACAAATCTAACAAAGTTCCCGACATCCAGCTTCTTCAAGCTGCCTCTCTCCTGAGATTAACTGTAGTTGTCATGCCATCATATTTCTATTTTCGTTTTTTGTAAGACATTCTTGTATTACTACATGGTAAAGATTACACGAAGCAACGGTGAAATCAGGTGTAACAACACAAAAAGCAGACTCCCTGTAGGGGTGATCAGTGCCGTCTCCACATGTACCCCTCCCTCGGGCAATCATAGGCTACTTAGGCACAATGCTATGGAGATAGTGCTCGCGCTTTTTTTCAAAGATGACGATGATCATATTCATGTCAAAAAAGGTCTATCTCCTCTGGAAAAAACAAACAAAAAGTCCAGATGCAAGACTCTCTTTATAATCACCTTGTGAACAATCAAAGGAAGGGTGGAGCCGTGTGATTTAGTGGGAATTATGGGTAAATTTATTTTGATATAAGACAGCAGTGTTTGAAGTACAAGAGCATTTGGGCAGCCTGGTCGGCACATGAAGAAACAGCACTTAGTCTCGAGGATACAGACCTTGAAACAAAAAATCTGAGACCCCCTCCCCCAAAGCAAGTCTACAATACTTTGGCAAGTCTAGATTTCTTTTGTATCAGAGACGGAAGAGATGCTCTAGACTCCACAATTCTAAATATTTGAATAAAGTTTAACCAAGGATATAATTATGAAAAATATGATAATATACAGTACACTACGATCATAACCAACCCAAATAAAAGGTATGTCAATCACTGGATTGTCTGATCCAGACTCGATTATTTACAGACCGCCGTCATATAGCTGGACAGACAGACAGATAGACAGAAAAACAAAGTCCTTCCAGTGTTTCAGAAGAAACTGGACAAGCAAAACTCTTGACACACAAACAAGTGGCAGTACCTATCCTAGTAGTCTGTCACAGATCCTGAAACAAATATATCCAATACAGCCCATGCAAGTCTGTAATGTTTGGCAAGTCTAGATTACTGCAGTATCAGTATCTGAAAATGAAGAAAGTCTCTGGGCCTCGTTTTTATTAGATTTTATAACAATAATTCAACAACTGTTTTTTCTGTAAAATATGTTCATTTCCGAGACTAGATGTTAGTCTAATATCCTAGCCTCTCCTTCAGATCCCAAAGCATCTATTTAACAAAACAATCGTCCCCATTCCATTCCAATCTCGACCCTTTCTGTATCAGGCCTTAATCAAACATTCACAGCTCTGATATCAAAGAGACTTGAGTGAGTGAGTGTTGTTTTTATGCCGCTTTTAGCAATATTCCAGCTATATCACGTCGGGGGACACCAGAAATGGGCTTCACACATTGTACCCATGTCGGGAATCGAACCCGGGGTCTTCGGCGTGACGAGCGAACGCTTTAACAACGAGGCTACCCGACCGCCCCAAGAGACTTGAGGGTTCCTTGATACTGGAGGGTTCTCTTAATTATTTTGATTCAAGCTTATATCTAACTTTCAGGGACTCTATGCCAGCGTGTGTCTGTCCCTGACACATCTGTTGTCAATGAATGGGGGATCCCCTGAGTGAGACCCAGGTCCGTCTGCATCACTCAGCACAACAGACCAGGGGGAAACTGTCAGGAACATGAGGGCTAAAAAGTACTGAAGCAAAATTTGGGATGCACTCCAAAGATCTGTCAGAATCTCTTTACAACATACTAGGTGTCTACGCAGAAGAGCACAGGCTTGAGCTGTTCATTCAAGGCGTGAGATGTACACTTAACGTTTCCCCCAACTGATGGTGATTGTTAAATAGCCAAACAGTTATAAAGATTAAACAAAATCAGTTTGATCCCATTTGATTACGTGGAGATGCACGTATCTCATCTGGAATAAGTAAAGTGAGAATAAATAGGAGCTTTAGTTATTTGCACCATGGGGGTTGGAGTGTAAGTGAGTGAGTTGGGTTTAACGCCGCTTTTAACAGTATTACAGTTATATCACGGCGTGTCAGCTTAATGTGGGAGGAAAGCCCAAAGTGATGCAGGTCTCAGACATTTACCACTTCAGTGAAACCCACAAGCACAGGTATGGTGCTGACAAACCTAGAAACATAATCGGGGTGAACCGGGATTTGAACCCACAACCATAGGTTTCTGGCGTGCCCAAGGGATGCAACTCTGCACAGCGAATTGTGGCGCTTTTGACGACTGGGCCACCCGTGCCCCCTGGGAGTTGGAAGTGGTCCCCAGCAACCTATTCTAGTTGTAAGAGGCTGTCAGACTCAGTGACCTGGTTGATTATTGTTCATGTTTTTTCAGGTGAACAATTGACTTGCCTTTGCATGTGTTTGTGATGGGTGCACCAGTGAGGCAGGATATGTCACCTTTTTTGCGAACACCTGGTATCATCACTATTTGATAGTGATTCATAAACACATGATACAAAGGGAATTGTACAATCGACTCTGCTTAATGCAGAGATATCGATTCAATATGGAAAGGGTGTTGTTGCTTTTTTCACAGTATCCATCACTGGATTGTCTGGTCAGACTCAATAATTTACAGGCCTTTTTCATATAGTTAGAATAATGCTGTGCAGCATTAAACAAAAAGAAACACACACACAATTTTAATGTTTTAAACTGTTTGTTTTTTCAAACTTTCCAGGAGGGACATCCATTGTCGAGTCCACTGTAACATCATAGTTCAACAGGCAGTGTTGCTTTCAAGGCCATGCACACGACATTTCCCCCATCAGTGGATGATCGCTGTTACAGACCATGCCACATGGTACATAGGTTACTCACACTGATAGCAATACCTTCTATCACCGGAGCACCAAATCCTAATTCAGAAACCCATTTTGTTATTTTCTGACTGGCACTACTCTCCAACCTTCCTCAAGACTATTGTTCAAGGCTACTCAAACCATTTACCTATTTCTGGTGTATTTTCAAAATTCAATACATTTCAAAGACCATACCATTTTTCATGGCTTTTATTTCAAAATTTGAGGCCATTTTTCAAACCAATTGGCCAAAATGAACCAAATAATTCAAGACCTCTGTAAATTACCTAGATATTTTTCAAGATTTTCAAGATACACATATCTACAAAATCAAGGTCTTTCAGAGACAAGATTCAGAATTCAAAGCCTGTTTTATCTTTCACTGATGAAAAGTGATCTCAGCAGTTGTGTGTGTTGTGAAGGCCATGTCCCTGGTGGTATTTCCAGTGGCCTACAAGATACTACTGCCTATCAAACCTGAAGAGGGCAAGGGAAGCTACCAGAAGATGACAGTCATGCCTAAGTGTCCGTGTCATCAGCTGTGTTCTAAATGACACCAGAAGAAAGTAAGATGGATCAAAACCTAAGTGAAGGGATAACACGCTATCAAGCATGACATGAAGCAACTGTTTCATGTGCTGGCAAATGTTTTTGTGACTACTGTGCCCCTGCAAACACTCCATTGCAACTGTTGCAGACTGTCATCTGATGCTTCTTGAGGGGATTTCTGAAGATTTATTTCTCCTGTGTATGCAAACAACACACTGCAGCATCAAAAATGGTAAAATGTAAATTAGCAGCCACCCCTTGGTTGGTAAAATGGCAGCCACTCTTTGGTTGGTAAAATGGATGCCACTACATGGTTGGTAAAATTGCTGCCATTATATGGTTGGTAAAATGGCTGCTGCTATTTTGTAGATAAAATGGATGCCACTACATGGTTGGTAAAATGGATGCCACTATATGGTTGGTAAAACGGCCGCTGCTATTTTGTAGATAAAATGGATGCCACTACATGGTTGGTAAAATGGATGCCACTATATAGTTGGTAAAAGGGCTGCTGCTATTTTGTAGATAAAATGGATGCCACTATATGGTTGGTAAAACGGCTGCTGCTATTTTGTAGATAAAATGGATGCCACTATATGGTTGGTAAAACGGCTTCTGCTATTTTGTAGATAAAATGGATGCCACTACATGGTTGGTAAAATAGATGCAACAATATGGTTGGTAAAAGGGCTGCTGCTATTTTGTAGATAAAATGGATGCCACTACATGGTTGGTAAAATGGATGCCACTATATGGTTGGTAAAACGGCCGCTGCTATTTTGTAGATAAAATGGATGCCACTACATGGTTGTTAAAATGGATGCCACAATATGGTTGGTAAAATGGCTACTGCTATTTTGTAGATAAAATGGATGCCACTACATGGTTGGTAAAACGGCTGCTGCTATTTTGTAGATAAAATGGATGCCCCTACATGGTTGGTAAAATGGCTGCTGCTATTTTGTAGATAAAATGGATGCCACTACATGGTTGGTAAAATGGATGCCACAATATGGTTGGTAAAACGGCTGTTACTATTTTGTAGATAAAATGGCTGCCACTACATGGTTGGTAAAACGGCTGCTACTATTTTGAAGATAAAATGGCTGCCACTCTTTGGTTGGTAAAATGCCTGCCATTATATGGTTGGTAAAATGGCTGCCAATACAAGGTTGGTTGAAGAGTTAGATCCTCAGTTCTGGTCCTCTCACTGCAACAGTTGGTTCTAGATTAATGCACCTTTCTCTGTGATAGTTCCATCATAAAGGTTTCAAAGAACTTGACCTCCAAAACACTTGGCTGCTTGACATGAGGAAGATGCATGTGTGGTGAAGCTTGCCACAATTCTCCTGACATAAACGAGATTAAACCAGGTACTCACCCTCGCAGAAACTGAAACCCTTGAACACAGACGAGGATGTTGCCAAAAGAATCGACTTTGAGCAGTGTTCCATACAGCGAATCAAACCATAGTCCCCTGAAAATAAAAGTGTTCATTATTCATTTATCGTCTAACCGTGTTAACACTGTATTGATTACTAGTCAACTTTAATCGTGGTATTAGTCTGCTACAAGGCTAAATCCTCCCCACACTAAATAAGACAATGATGTATTTTACTAAATAAAGGAACATAATCATAAATCTCTGCTTAAAGCAGAGTCCGCTGTACGATTCCGACTATACGTCATAAGCATGTGTTCATGGATCACTATAAATCAAAGTTTGCGAAAAATACAATTATCATGATTATTCCTTGTTCGTTTATCCAGGGGGCGGTCGGGTATCCTAGTGGTTAAAGCGTTCGCTCGTCACGCCGAAGACCCGGGTTCGATTCCCGACATGGGTACAATGTGTGAAGCCCATTTCTGGTGTCCCCTGCCATGATATTGCTGGAATATTGCTAAAAGCTGCGTAAAACCATACTCACTCACTCACTCACTCACTCACTCACTCTTCACATTTGACACTGAGTGGAGCCTGACATAAAGACATTGATAAAAAAATAATATTCAGCTGGGTGATGTTGTACTAAACAACCTTAGCGCTATGACTGTTGAAAGTCTGTAAAGTATGAGAGTTGCGATCAGGTTGCTAAGGTTGCTTTGTACAATGGCACCAAGGTCCATATTGTTCATTGATGTATGCTTGACATCTTGCAGGACATCCAGAAACATGGCCGATACAATATCAGAACAAAAGGAGCATGACGGCAAGGGCTCCCTTCCTGACAGTTACTGTGACCTCACAGGTTAACTCTTGCACTCATGTTGTATTTGTTTGTTTGTTTGTTTGTTGTTTAATGCTGCACTCAGCAATATTCCAGCAAAATGACGGCGGTTGGTGGATAATAGAGTGGGTGGCGCTTGTGATGCATTATTGCGCTGAACGATGTCACTGAAATTGTATCGTCTACAGTTTTTTGTTACTGATTAAATAAGCAGTCTGTGAAGTTATTATTGTTGACTTATTTATGTATAAGAATTGCCTCCAATATTTGTTTTGTGTTTTTGGAGGTATAAACGTAACAACTGATGTGCACATCAGTGTAGGGAACATAAACGCACAAACAAATTGCTTGGTGAGCCAATCAAATGCAACGGAATGGCTTGCGTTTTTTTTTTATTAAGAATTGACTAGAATATATTTTTAAGGTTGTTTTTGCTTAAAATCCATCATGTATCACTGAAGTACCGTTACAAGAGTCGTAAACCGACCCACTCACTCACTGAGGACAGGACTCCTCCAGGCCTAATTGTGAATGCTTCACAGAGCTGCATGTATTCCAGTCGTATCTTATCACTGTAAGGGCCGACATATTACTCCTAATAAGCTAACCTGCAGACACCAGAGCGGGAGCACCGAGGTAGCTGATCTGTCCTGCAGTCTTATGTCAGTCCGTAATAAGCTATCATACGAGTTGTATCAATATTGAGACTTTTCTTTACGCTACTTACATATGCCTTGAGATTAACATGTTATCAAAACACTTGAAACATCTAAACAAACACTGAGGCTTCTCTTTGAAAAAGTATCAAATAGCATCGTGGAAAACCATGGACTATGTAGCGATTGAGATAGTGGCCACACTCGGAGATACGTGGAAATTCTAGAAACATAGCATGATAGTGATGTGAGACAAGACAGCTTCCTTAGCAACAGCTACAGCTGCAACAACTACACAGTATTACAACTACTACTACAACTGATCACATCTACTATTACTACTACTGCCACAACTACTTCTACTACTACAACTACAACTACTACTGCTACAACTACTACTACCACAAATACCGCTACTTCTGCTGCTGCTGCTACTACTACTACTACAACTACTGCTGGCGCAAATACTACTGCTTCTATTATTTCTGTTCCAAGTACCACAACTAATGCTACTAACACTGCTGCTTCTACTAAAACTGCTACTACCACTTCTGCTACAACTATCACAACTACTACTACTACTGCTGCTATCTCTACTACAACTACATCACCAGTGTTGGACCAGTAATGGAAGGCACCACACACTGAATGTTTAACTAAAGTGGAAAATACAAAGACCCGTTTTACACTTCAGAAAAATACCACCACCATACCCATCGCAGCCATCACCACAACAACTACTACCACAACAACTACTACCACAGCTACTACTACCACAGCTTCTACTACCACAGCTACTACTACCACAGCTTCTACTACCACAACTACTACTACCACAGCTACTACTACCACTACCACTACCACGGCTACTACTACCACAGCTTCTACTACTTCAGCTACTACTACCACAGCTACCACAGCTACTACTACCACAGCTTCTACTACCACAGCTACTACTACTTCAGCTACCATTACCACAGCTTCTACTACCACAGCTACTACTACCGCAGCTTCTACAACTTCAGCTACTACTACCACAGCTACTACTACTTCAGCTACTACTACCACAACAATTACTACCACAACAACTACTACCACAGCTTCTACTACTTCAGCTACTACTATATCAGTGACTACTACTACAACAACTACTACCACAGCTACTACTAGTTCAGCTACTACTACCACAGCTACTACTACCACAGCTATTACTACCACAACAACTACTACCACAATAACTACTACCACAGCTACTACTACCACAACTACTACTACCACAGCTACTACTACCACAGCTACTACTAGTTCAGCTGTAAATGCTATTGGTGCTGAGCCTCAGACCTTCATGCTTGGAATCTTAAATGAATAATTATCCAGTTTCCACTCAGCCATATCACTGTCATTTTGTCCCCAGCTGGTTTCCCCGATTCCCTAGCTTGTTTCCACGTCTTCTCCCTGACTAATAATTCCTCTAATATCCTGTTTATAAGCAAAAAGCCATAACAAGAACACTCCTTACGATAATTACCTTATTACAAATGTTTATGCAATTAATATTCACAACAAGCATCAACGAAAAGCTACAAAAATAATTGAGCAAGAACACGATTTATTTACACTGTTCTACAATCACCATGCACTTCACCCAATGACAAATGTCCTTCAGCCAATAAGCGATAAAGCTCTTATTGTAAATTGCAACCATTTTCATTGTCAATTATGACAGGACCGCTGACATACTGAGCTTTAATGGACCATCTACTAGAGCTCTGGCATTATGTTTCTGTTATGATAAGTCAAAGAATAATAATCATTCTGTCGAAAGTATCTTGAATTACATACGGCCCTCTTAAGCATACTTCCTTGCTGGGGGCAGTTGTCCTGATAGCTGCACTGGATCTGTGCCAAATGCATACTCCCGAAGTCTCAATCAACGTCACTGCTCATTTGCAATCTTGAAAAATTCAATGTATCAGACATCTACTTAATCCAAATTATATTTTTATATAAATTTTGGCAATATTCTTCAAAGGTATGTCGAATTTTGGAACTCGGTCAGACCACTTTCTGGTTTAGTGTATATGCGTGATGAAAACTGTCTCTTGAAAATAACTATTTTTATGAAATAGAAAATAGTTATAGCATTTAATATGTGTAATTCCAAAATGTTGAAAAAACAAGAAATGCTTATCAAACATAAGGAAGATAATATATGGATGTCAATTTCTTTATTATGCGGAACACAATGTTTCGGAATATATGCTTACTCCTTCACCTGATGAAAGTATAAGCATATACATATAACGTTGTGTTCCTCATAATAAAGAAGTTGACATCCAAATATTATCTTCCTTATGAGTATCACTCCTAAATGCCTTTCAAAGACCTTATCAAACATGACTCTTATTTTGTCTAAAACTATTCAACCACAAATTTGGCTGTCATAATTTCAGACACAAGGCCTTTTGGGGGTTTCAAAAGCTCCCTATACAGTAGTATATTCCCCTTTATCACGCCTGCACCTCTATAAAGCCTACATATCGACATAGTTGTACAATGTAGAAGTATTTCCATACAATTCCCACAACTGCTCTTATGTCAGTTTATGTCACATATGTCAGTTTTCACATCCAACATCAAGCACAGACATCCAGCAGTTTACAAGGTAACTAACACTACATATTTCCAAATGTTATCAAGATGCTCAGCGCATTTTTATCCCGTTATTTTTTTCTCACAGATAAAGATTGTATCAATTAGCCTGATATTTCACAGTACCAGATGCCTGCTTCAAGTAATCATTTTATAGCCCATTAATTACACCCCTGTAATGGAGCTATACCATAATGCATCAGTGCTTGGCGAGAAAAACTATCCTCCTTGGCCAATAAATGAAACAAAAACTACAAAGAAATGTGGGCACTTGTGCAAGACAATTGTGCAGAGAAGCATTCGGTTTTAATGTGCACTTTGCAACACAATCGTCCAAATTCATTGGTCGACTTGCACTGGATCCACACAATCATTCCACTTCCTGTTTGCCTCGCATGAAAGCGAGGCTTAATTGTATGAGGCGCGGTCTACTGACCCACACAGTATCATTTATCGCCTTTTCTTGCATGCTTGTATTCTCTTTCATTTGAAAGGCAACACCATTTGTGAAAAGATCTTTTCTAAATTTACGAGCATCACTCTGCAATCTTGTGTCCCTGCATTCATCTGTTGTATAGAGCTTCGTAATTAGGACTTCTTTGTACATCAGCTTGCTTATTGAAAGTTTATTACTGTTTTCAAATGCGCTAATGTGTAAGGTGAAGATAGTAAAATGTAATTATCAACTGGTCACGATGTCTGCGCTTGAATATCTTCCGTATTCAACCATTAGATAAATGTGCACATTTAGGAAATGAGACTCTCTAAAAATCGGAAGCATAATTATTATAACTCATTAGAGATGGTCTTACAGAAGTTGCTTTGCAAATATGCCACAACCACAAAGAATTTGGATTAATCGTTGACGAAGAGGATAATGATGAAAGCATCTTTCAATATCAGTCTTCGTATCTTCATGAATGAATGCGATGTTTCAAAAG